CCCGCAATGTGTACCCCTAAAGCTGACTGCTGTGAGCCCAGAGCCACGAGGCAGGAGGATCAGACCGTGGGCTACAGCTCAGCCACAGGGCTCAAAGCAAACCAGGAAAGCAACAGGCTGCAGCACGCTGTATCTCTTTGGGCGGCCACGTACCTCATCCCTGGGTCTTTATCAGGCTCTCCAAGGAGCATGGGTGGGGGTGTCTATCTGGCCCTCAACTCCCTGTGTGTGCGGTGCTGGTGAGCTGCTGACAAGTGATAGGAGCAACAGCAAGAGACTGATGTGGCTGCAGTCTGTAGCTGAGTCCTTGCAACTGTTGGGTGGTCGCAGGCAGGGGAGGACCTGGGGGCCTTCATGGGATCCTCCACTCCCAGCCCCAATGGATTTCCAGGCTTGGCATTGAGATCAGATTGAAGTGGCTTAGTAGGTGAAACTCTCCATGTGCCCAAACCCACGTTTCTCCCAGGCTCAGGTTTGCCCTACGTGCCCTGAAAGCCAGGTCCCAGGAGGGCTTTCCAGCTGTGGCCCCCATAAACCTTGTATGTGGCCCTGGGTGCACAGGCAAAGAGAGCTGCAGGTGCTTAGCACCCCTGAGAGTCAAGTCCAGAGTGTTTAAACACAAGTTAGACATAAGACCGGCTCCTCTGGGCTTCGATAGACCTAGAGGGGGGACATTTGTAGGCTTGAGGTGGGCATCTGCGCTCTGCTCCTCTGTCCTCCTATTGCCACACATCTCTCATCCAACCAAATCCATAGCTGGAGGCTTCCTTAGTTCTTTGCACCAGAAAAAAAACTGCTCTGTTATTTTTCTGGAGTCTAAAAAATGGCAACAACTAAAAGCTGGCATTTTCCAAGGGGGGGCCCGAGTCTATCCAGGGGTGCCTTGAGTCTAAAAAGGTTGAGACCCGCTGATCTACAACCTTTAAGGGCACTACAAAGAGCCATGCATTAGTAATAACAATAATACAATGATTTGTAGTGTGGGGATGATGTTGTAGCCACGATGGGCTAGGAAAGATGCCAGAAGCAAGGATGTTTGTGGGTGATGACGTTTATTGCACTGACTGCTGCACCCACAAACATCCTTGCTTCTCAATAATACCCTAATATAATAATACCCTCAATAATAATACCGTTGCCGTCAGTACCCTCTGGAAATGCAAGCCGAAGGAGGGAAAGTGGGTATTTCTGCATCTGTTCTCTCCTAACGTTCCCATCACCATCAGCATAACGTCCCCACTTCGGCTTTTCCACGCTGTTACCCCAAATGTATCGGTGGGCGATACATACCTTCCTGCTATTAACTTAAAACTGACTGCCTGCTCATTTCACGGTGTGGCCCCTCATTCTTGTAGCCTGAGACAGTCGATAATAAATCCCTATTGATTTTCTCTTCACCCTTTAGTATTTTGTAAGCCCTTCCCATGTCTCCCTTCTCTAAACTGACCAAAAAGCCTCTTCAGTCTCTCCTCATACGCAAGCCCCTTTGGGCCACTCATCAGAGCCACTGCAGAAGGAAAAGGCAGGCTCAGGGATCCTTTCAGGCGTGCAGACTGATTTGGGGGCTGCTGTAGGCAGCAAACAGGTGCTACGGGATGAATGACAGAACGAATGGGAGAACCTCACTGGGTCCTCTAGTGCAGCGTTGCTCAACCCACGGGTTGTGACCCAAAAGTGGGTTGCAAAAATATACGAGAAGGTTGCAAACAAGCTTTAAAAATGGCTTCAAAAATGTTTAAATTGGATTTTCCTTTTAAGGAGAAAAAATGTGGGTAGCTGTGGCGATTTCCTTGCAGAGTTTCAGCTTGCAAGGGGCTGCTTGGGCCCTCCCCTGCCCTACACACTGGAGGGTCTGGGGGCAGTGGGTCAGGGCTGAGGGGCACTGGGTTGGGACTGGCCATTGCTGTTTACAAATGGGTCCTGGTACAAAAAAGGTTGAGAACCGCTGGTCTAATGCAGTCTGGTTGTGGCACGAATGGCTGTTCTGCACCATGCATTTCTGTGTTTTACCCGGCTCCCGTGTGAGTGCCTGCATCGGGGGTCATCTGTGTAGTGTAACTCTCTATGCCCTGTTCCTATAAACAACCCCTCTAAAGCCTGCAAGACAATTGAGCCCAGCGGGACGGGGAGCCTGCCTGCCCCCTCCGCACAAAACACTGCAGCCAGCAGCAGCCAGCTGCTAAGTGCCTTTATCTGAAGCCTGCAGTCTCCTCTCCTCATCATTATCAGTGCAAAAAGGGGGCAACTGCATGCTTTCCCCTGCCTGTTTTATTTTTAAAACATGAAAGCGAAGAGACTGTTGCACACGGCTGAAATGGAGGATGAGCATGAGTTGGTGGTGTTGGACACAGCAAATGCACTTGCCCTGAAACAGGCAGGGTCCCAGCAGGGCTGAACAGGGGTCGAGCTGTGCAGGTTCAGGGACTCACGCTCACTAATGCAAGCTGAGGATGACTGCCTTTCTTTTCTTTTTAAGTGCATCCCTTTCGATGTGCTAAATAGGAGGCCAAATCTTGAGGTCTTCCCTGGAGATTAACCCTGCCCTCAGTTCTGCAGGTCCCAAGCCTTTCCTGGGCAAAGCGGCAGATACACTGATTAAATCAATACAGTAAATAAACCCAGGGAAACTCTATAGCTTTCCGTGGCTTTTCTCTGCTGCCAGACCAGAATTCCTCTGACACTTTAGCTCATCTCTCACTCAGGCAAAATGCCTGATTTGGCCCCAGGAAAGTCCAAAGTAAGTGATAAAGGTGATGGAGATGTTGCAAACCAGGTTGCTTAAGCAGAGTAGGAGGGACTGGATGGGTTTAGCTTGAAGAAAAGGAGATCTAAAGAGAGGGGCATAATAGTCTGCCATACAGAAGAGGGAGAACCCCTCTCCCTGGCCACAGAGGACAGGACTGCAGTAAAACAGACTGAGAAAGCAGCTGAGAAAAAGTCTTCCTCACCATGAGAGCAGTGGGATGGTTAAACAGGGAAGCATCTCCTTCCCAGATGGGTCCAGACACAGGGTGGGCAGACATCTGCCTGGGATGGTTGAGGGACAGCATCCTGCATCTGGACAGGGGACCAAGCGTTGTCCACTCTCCAGCCCCAAGATCCTACTCTTCCATGCAGGAAGGATGTATAGAGAGGTGGAAACAGTACAAAAAAGATGGTCCTGTTGCCTTGGCCTTTGCATCTTTATTTTCACCTGTGCAAAATGGGTGCACACCACAGTTACTCTGCTCCTGTAGCATTTTCGACCCTCTTTGCATGAGATGCAAAGATCCACACCAGGTACAAGATAACAGAGAGCTGATACCAATGTTCATGACAGAGCCAAGCTGGTCAGGCCCTCAGCTGCTGGCAAGGGGTCTTCCTTCTCTGATTGTCCTGGGCTTTGCTAATTATTATACCAGCCAAGGATGTGGCAGAGTGCATTTTATCTTCCAGAGGGGTCAGGGGCAGCAAAGTGCCCACTCTGCTAATATTAGGGTTAGAAAGTTGTAGCTCTGATGGTCCAGGGAAAGCCCTTGCCTCTGGTATTGCTAATGTTTCCTGAAGTCAGAAAGCAATGCACTGGCCCCACCCGTGAGCACAATTGCAGTGGAGCCATCTGTGTACATCTTTGGAGGACCCTTTGAAAGTCCCAAGCACACGGCTGTTTTGCTTTAGCCTCCGCTGCTCTGGGAGGCCGATCTCCGTCCCAGTCCTGTGCAGGATCAGAAACACAGGGCTCAGTCTGATTCATGTGGGGTGAGATCCTTCTCCGTGTTGAAATCAGTAGAGAGATACCAGGTGATGTCAGGTGAGGATCAGGACCCTATGACCGCAATGCTTCAGTGAGGCACAGTCAGGGTGGACGTAGGTGAGCATCTAGAGTTACAAATATCTTGAGCTCCTAGTTGAAAGTGATCAGACCTGAAGGGACTCAGCATCTCTGGGCATTTCCCCTTGCAGAGAGGGCCAGCAAACAGCCCATGAAGCAGGGGGAAGAGATGCTGAGTCCCTTCAGGTCCTATCCTATGTGTACCTCTTTGGGCTTGCTTTCATTTACGAGTGTATCCAGCTGTTTTATCCCAGAGCTCTGGCTAACCACAATGATTAGCACATAGAGGTAAAAGAAAAGCAAATACAACACGCATCTCCAGCCATAGGCAAGAGAAACACGGTCCTCGTTGCATCATATGGAGACTATGAACGGTCTGGAGCAAGCAGCTGTGAGCTCTGCATGGTTTGTGCATTATTTACCCTGCACTTAAGCAAACCGGTTTCCAGAAGCCATTTCCCTGGTGACTTGTTTAACAGTGATTGGTGGTGAGATCAGTGTGGTTAGCCAGATCCTTGCTGGTAAGAAAGCACTTTATTCCCCTTAAAACCACATGTCCTTGCAACGACACACTTTGCCATTTCAGTGAGGAAAATATCTAGCCTGCAGTTTGTCATGAACCCGCAGGCACAGTTTTGCTTTCATTTGGGACTGCGATGAATCCTTCACACTACAGATGAAATCAGAGCTGCTGAGTCTGCATGATTCCTTCACAGACACTGCCTCAAAAACAAAATGCAGGCAAAAATTCAATTTGTACCCTAAACTGGATTGCTTAAATGCATGTTTGGATGTGCTGAAGTGTCTCACAGCTGCAATTAAATCCTCAGCTGGAGACTTGACCATCAGAAAGGGAAGCCAAGGGTCAGGGACCTCGTAAGGAGCCACTGTGCAATGGGGCTGATATCTCTTGGAGGCAGCAGTGTGTGTGCGAGATCTCATGGATGTGTGCATGCACACACAGCAGGGGAAGGGGGAAGGGAGTCAATATTCAAGCCTAAGTTTAGCACATCTGTTGGGCTGGTCCTGAGACCCCCAAGTGCAAAGACCACACCCCAGCACACACTGCCTACTGACCTCTCCTCCGTCAGCGTGGACCCCACCCAGGCCTGACCAATGACCGTGTCAGCCGGGAGTGGATAAAAGTGACCCCGAGGGGTCTGCAGCTCAGTTTCTGCTTCCCGACATCACTGCAGTTGCAAGCAAGCTATCGTTCGCCACCATGGTGCAGTGGTCAGCTGAAGAGAAGCAGCTCATTACCAGCATTTGGGGCAAGGTCAAGGTGGAGGAATGCGGTGGGGAAGCCTTGGCCAGGTAGGCTGGTCCCAGGGACCTCTGCTCAGCCCTCACCGGAGGCTTCCTGCACACAGACGTGTTCACCGTGGCTCTGCTTGTGTCTCCCTCTCTCTAGGCTGCTCATCGTCTACCCCTGGACCCAGAGGTTCTTCTCCAACTTCGGGAACCTCTCCAGCCCCACCGCTATCACTGGAAACCCAAAGGTGCGTGCCCATGGCAAGAAGGTGCTCACCTCCTTCGGGGACGCTGTGAAGAACCTGGACAACGTCAAGGGCACGTTTGCCAAGCTGAGCGAGCTGCACTGTGACAAGCTGCACGTGGACCCCGAAAACTTCCGGGTGAGTGAGATTTCCAGCTTCTCCCTGGCCCTCTTCAGTCCCCTAAATAGGCCCCTACCACCCTCTCTGGGTTATACAGGAGCTTATACAAGCGTTTGCATTCACATGGGGTGAGATCCTTTGCTGTGTTGAAATCAGTAAAACGGTATTAAGTGAGGATCAGGGCCACGTGGCTGATGCCTGGGATGGGATGGTTATGCCCCTCCCTTTAGATATCCTTTTTTCCAGCCTAAACCAGAAGGCTTAAATGGCCATTGTGCATGTGCCCAACCAAGTGATGCCAAGTACATGGCTGTGAGAGATAAAGTTGAGGGCACTGGCATGGGGGTGAAGAGTGTACGGACCAGAGGCAGTGCTGGGGTTGTGGATGGGGAGGACCTAGCCGGGCCATGTGCCACAGGGATCCAGAGTCAGGAGGGGTATGAGGGGTAGAGGAGATTGGTGAGAGAGAGCCCTATAAGACATCAAGGAGGGGGGATTAGAGGGCTGAGGAGAGGCACATGGAGACTGTATGATGAGTGGGGGTAGAGTGAAAGGTGGGAAAAAAGTGGTGGAAGCAATGGATGAACAGAGGTGAAAAGGAGGGGAGAAGAAGAGTGGAAGTTTGAGGGTGGTGGGTGAGAGGCCTGTGCCCAGCCCTAAGGAGGAGACAGCAGCCTGAGAACAAAAGGAGAGGAGCCACATAAACCCAGGCCCCACATAGGCCACATTCACACCCAACACTTAGGCCTGAGGTGACCTATTGGCCTCATCTTGGCCTACAGACCCCGTGTTGGCCTACAGGCCTTGTTTGGCCTACAGGTCTTATGTCATCCTACAGGCCTCGTCTTGGCCTATGGGCCTTGTTGGGTCTTCAGGTCTTGTGTCATTGTACAGGCCTTGACTTGGCCTACAAGCCTCGTGTTGGCCTACAGGCCTCATGTTGGTCTACAGGCCTTGTGTCACCCTACAGGTCTTGTCTTGGTCTACAGGCCTCATGTCTAGGGTGGTCATCATAGAGGATAGTCCGGTTGTCCTCTATCCTCTCTTAGTACAAAACTGGACACCTTTATGTCCTCTATTTTTCTCTTCAAGAGAAAAATAGAGGACATAAAGGTGTCCAGTTTTGTATCAACAGAGGACAGAGTAGCAGAAAACTGGAATGTCCTCTATGATGACCATGCTACTCATGTCACCCTTCAGGCTTCTCGTTGGCCTACAGGTCTCATATCAGCCCCAGGCCTTGTGTTGTCCTGGCCCATTGCCCAGGGTGGGGGGACTGGTGAACTTCACTCTGCAGCAATGAAGGGAAGGGTGTCGGGGACTGAAGCAAAGAAAGAAAAGGATGGACTCAGAAGCAGAAATGGCTAAAGGAACATAACCTATATGTGGTAGTGAGACAGCTCTGGCACTCTCAGCAATAGAGTATCTTTCCTGGCAGTGAAAATTCAGCTCTGAAAGGTCTCCTAAACACGAAACTATCTGTCTGTCAAGAGGGCTGGGCTTCTGACTACCTCTCTGTTTGACTCTCCTCACCACAGTATCTTAGCAGTAGCAGAAAGAGGGCGTTAGGGGGGCATATGGGAAACTAACTCATTCAGAGAGGCACCAGCTTCCATCGCCTAGCAGTTAATAGTGAATGCTAGCAGCCCAGACTGGCAACACTTGGACACAGAAACGCAGTGCTGATTCACTGATGCATCTCTTTTCTTCCCCCATCCAGCTCCTGGGAGACATCCTCATCATCATATTGGCAGCTCACTTTGCCAGGGATTTCACCCCCGCTTGCCATGCCGCTTGGCAGAAGCTGGTAGGGGTGGTGGCTCATGCACTGACTCGCAAATACCACTAAGGCAGCGGGTGATGAAGAGATCCTGCTTCCTTCCAGGTCTGCTACAGGCCTGGAGATGCCTTCTGGGTATTTATGGGCTGTAACAGTCAAATAAAAACCATGCACTGAAGTGCACATGTCCTTGTGTCTCTGCTGGGAGTGGGAAGGGGCGGGAGGGTCTGGACTTCTGGGGGAGGCCTGATCAGATGTGTCATTAATAGGACAGGATTTGCTGGCTTGCATTCCTGAGTTTTCAGGGTTCCCTGCATGCTAAATAGCATTGTCCTCAATAGCCAGCACCAGGCCTTTCCCAGCACAGCCCTCTCAGGCAGTGACATGCTGCAGAGAGGGATACGGTGCAGAAGAGAAGACTGAACTGAAGAGCCTTCAGCTCTCTGCAGGGTGATTGCAAAGAGGATGGAGCTGGTGGCAGATGACAGAACAACGGCAGATGACAGAACAACGGCAAGTCTTTCTCTTGCTCGGGATTATCACCCTCTGCACCTCAGACCTACAAGAAATGTGCCAAAAAATCATGGCCTCTCAGCTGGGGGACTCTTAGACCTAGAGATGGCTGGAAGGGTTTTGATTAACTTGCATTTCATGGCAATGCCCTGTGCAAAATAACTCCAGGGGTATTGGACATTGGCTTTTTTGGGTCACTCTGAGAGTGAGAGAGAGAAAAGGGCATGCATAAGAACAACAGAGCTCCATCCAGCCCAGTCTCCGGTCCCTCACAGTGCCAGAGGGGAAGAGTGTTTAAACAGGGCCTGCCCAGGCTCACCCATCCCCTGCCCCTCTCCCTCAACAGCTTCCAGCAGTCATTAGCCTGGGGAGTCCTAATTTGGAGGTTGCACCCTGCACTCCTATGTGCAACCCCTACCCCTGGCCCTGGAGTTAGGGTTAGGGTACGGAGCTGTGGAAGGGAGCGTCCAGCCCTGCACAGTCCAGGACTAAACTCTGCTCTGAGTCAGGCAGAGCAGGGACCTCAACCCACCTGCCCCATTCCCAGCCAGTGCCCCAGCCACCAAGCAATGGTACGAGCAAGCTCTCCAGTGCACGGAGAGCCTTGGACTGGGGCAGCACAGGATGTGGGGGACCAAACCTATCGAGATTTAAGCAGTCAAAGCCTGTGAAGTGCATCCCTTTGCTCTGCCTCTTTGGGTACCAGCCCCGCCACACATCATAACCATACCATGACTGCAAGCAGCACTCATGCTTCAGGGCTTTCACTGGTCAGATGCAGGGGTCAGGAAGGAAAAATTACCCCCTGGTCATGACAGACTCGGTGTATCCTGTGTGTGTGGGTGGTTGTGATGGACTATATTCCTGTTCTGTAATGTTTCTAAGTTAAATGGGTTCCCCCCACCCCTCCACACACACCACTGTGATAATGTTGCATAGCTCTGCTCCCCTGACTTTCTCATACACCAATAAAGAACACCTTGAATTGGACCTGGCAGTGAAGGTGGGGCTTTTACTAAGTGATTTTTTACCAAGTGGCCCAATTTGTTTATGAAAACCCACTGCAGCACCACTAGATTTAGGCCCCGTCACCTGGCCATGTCCTGCTGTTTCTAGTGCCCAGGGCGGGCATCAAAGACACCCCAGAGCAAAGGACTGCCTTGAAGAGGAGATTCTCCCAGTGACCCGAGGTGGGAAACAAATGCAGGATAAGTCTCAAGAGTTAAAAACAGCCAGGACTGTTAGTTTGGGAGCTGGCCTAGGCATTCATTAAGTAATGCTGATGATGCTGATGAGCTGCAAGCTTCACTGCATAGGACTCCAGGTGCTCTCTGTCCCCTTGAAGAGGCAATGCCTCTCTGCAGGAGCTGAGCTAGAAAGCAGCTCTTGGAGGGGGCCACAGATGACCGGAGAGGTGCAGGAACTTGAAGGTTGGGTCTCAGAGTCCAAAAAGCCAGGTTTACCCTCTCTAGATGCTTTGCCCGCTCTGGCTTCAGGGGTTACTCAGAGGCTGTGAGGCTGGGCGACTCCCAGGAGGAACCTGCTGGGAAACTGTGACAGGGGATGATTTGCTTTCCCTTGAGATCTCAGAGATGCTCCATGTCAAACCAATCTCTGCATTTATGGGCTTGAAGGAGCTTGACTTGCAGAGATTTTGGAGGTTTTGTACCTTCCTCTGTGGTGTAGACTGCAGTTCATCTGCTGGGTTCATCTAAGCATCTCTCCCCTAATCAAGTCCCTGCCATGACAAGCACAGCGCCTCCATCTCTTGCCTTCTTGACCAGCAACACACCCAAAGCAAGGGAATTTGGAAGAGCTGGGACTATTTCATTTGGAGAGCAAAAAGCTAAAGGAGCATTTGCTAACAGGCTGCAAATACCTGATGGGGGGGTCACATAAACTGTTTTGCATAGTTGCAGGAGACAGGACAAGAGAGCAATGGTTTGAAATTGCACCAAGGGAAGGTTAGGTCCACCTATGATGGTGGTGATGAATTGCACCAGACTGCCTAGAGGGGTGGGAATTTGGGGGACATCTCCATCTTTAAGCATTTTGAAGAGTAGGTTGGACAGACACTTGATTGGGAGGGTTTAGTCAGGGATGACTAGCCTGGACTGTACGTGAAGGCCTGAGATCCCTACCTGTCCAACTTCTCTGTGTTTCTAAGCTACTGTCAGATAGACCAGATCCCTTGTATTCCTGACACTGTCTTGCTAAAACTTCATCAAAACCTTATCTCAGCAAGCTGTGAGCTTCAGGCCTCCCTTACCCTTCACCCCTCTCTCCTTATTTTAAGGAAGTCTCAGTCTCTGATCAAGTTCCCCCTTCTGCCTTTTCCTGCAAGGTAACAAGGCTCAGATGGGCTACCAAAAAATATAAGCAGCAGGGATATTTAAGGCCCTTGCAGATCGTGCCTGGAAAATGAAAGGTCAAGTATCATGTCTTCCAGGCAGAGAGGTTTAAAGGCAGGTTCAGTGGTAAGGGAATAACTCATGGGGCACATACTCAAATAGTCAAAAAGGACACAGCTGCAGGGAGACCTGTATAGTTGCTGGTGATGAGTTTGTTTGTTTTTTTTAATGTGGCCATTAGTTTCTGATTGGTTTCTATAGACATTCAATGTATAAGGAAGGTATAAACGATGCACACATCAAATATGTAATGCCTGCATACTTTCCCCTTTGCTAGCCAGTCTGATTAGCCAGTTGGTAGTGGTTCAAGACTTGTTAGTTCAACAGGCAGCAAACCTGGGAAAAAGCCAAACCCTATGGGCTTGGAAAACCCTACCACTGCAAGCTCCAGGGTTCATTAGAAGGAACCGATGAGATAATCTAGGCTAAAAATACTAGGAAACAATTAAATATCATGTGTGTGCATGCTGAGAATGGGCCTGGCCACATGCATAATGCTAGTCCTATGTCATATGTGTCTGCAGGCTGAATCCCATGGGGAAATTGAGGCATGGAGCAGGGCAGGTATTGAACACCAGATGATGTGGTGGACCTGAGGTCTCCAGGATGCTTTGGGTGGCCAGGGCATCTCCAGGGTTATAATGTGAGACAACTAGGCCAGAATTTTTCCTATAATCAAATGACTCCAGGAGCTGGAGCTTGGAAGACACCAGGCACTGTGAGATTTATGATTGAATTGAGAGATCTGGCAGTACTGCAGGCAGACCCTGACTCATGCCTCTCTGGGAGAGGTCATGGGCTGATTTTAGTCTTAAAGTGACCTCTACCTTTCACAGACATGATGTTCCCATCACCTTTACAACACCTTTTATCCACTGCTGTGTCCCCTGGGATAGGTAAGAGGTTGAAATGTCCAGGATCTGCAGAGGAGAGCCTATACAGTGCATGTCCTAGGGCCATGTGTGTGTGTGAACATGTGTGTGTTTGCACACATGCACAAAAAAGTGCGACTCCTGTACCGGCAGGTAAAGGGGAGTCATGTTGCCAGGACAGGAGTTCACAAACCAGAGAGAAACTATGGGTGTGTGTAGATGACATGGGTGTTAATGTAGCACAGTTCCTATTCTTCTCAAGCATTGCAGCAGTAATCCCCAGGTAAACTGCATTTGCAGAAGCAGTACTGCCAGCTCCTCCTTTTCCTTCTCAACCATGTCCTTCATATTCTCCATGTCGGAGGACTCTTCACTGCGTTGTTCTACATCATTGTATATTTCATCCTAATTCTCCATTTTCCCCCTCTTCCTCGCTGGTGGCTTTTCACCCGTTTGCATCAAGCGGAGAGGCAGGGACTGTAGGTTGTGTGATCTGGAGCTTGGTGTAGCTGCTTTTTCAACACTTCACCCCAGCACCCTGGGACTTTTGCATATCCTTTTATCCTCAGCTTAGCAGCTACTGGTGGTCTGCTGTAATCAGGCTTGCAAATCAAAAAAATGTTTTGCCTACTCCTCTCCTGGTAATGTAGGCTACTCAAAACGTTTGCCATTTTAGGGAAAACAGGCTGTGCTTCTGTAATAAAATTATTTTTCACAAGCAGGCAGGTAGGTATCAATGTTTGCAACATCTCAGGCCATTGAGCAGCCATCCCAAAGTACAATGGCCTTATTTACCCCATCTCCAGGTCTTTCTTGTTAACTGGGTACTTCATCACCTTTGGGTGTTTTGACACTTGCAGGTAATGACTTCAAAATCCTTGGGAATTATCCCAGACACTCCTGCAGGCACAGCTTGAATATAAAGGCACCCCCCCAAAAAAAAAAAATGCCAGCCCCCTTTCACAAATTGCTTGTGCTGTTGACCATGAACTGCTTTGCCATGTCTCAGAAAGTCAAGGCCAGCAGTATGGAGTTGATGGCCCAGGAGGCTGATACCTCCAATGCCTGTGGACCCAACTGAAAACAGGAAAAAAACTGGAGGACTTAATTGACATTTGGTTGGAGCAAAGGATCATAGACAGGCTTGAAAGTAGGAGGAATAAGCCTGTTTATGTTGAGATGGCAAAAGGCATGCAGGCATAAGGGCACAATCGTGACTGGACCCAGGTCCAGTTCAAGATCAAGTCCCTGAGATCAGCATTTTACAGAGGCAAACATGTGAGCTCTCATTCTGGGGCAGGTTGCACAATTGCCCCCTTCTATGACAAGCTGGCCATCATTCTCTCCAAGGATGAGGGCGACAATCCGGGTA